ATGTGTCTGACACCGCTTCTCGCCCAAATCGCCGAACGGATTCAGCCGATTATTCGGTTAATGGCAGTAATAGTATTATACGACTTAAGCCATTATGCAATTTTCAAAATTCTATTTAATTGTATTGAAAACTATTCAAAATCGTTTTCATCTACGGGACAAAGAATTACATTACGTTGAATAATATCAGTATTTCGATTATCCCAAAATATGATATAAATGCTAAAGTCCGTTCGGGTGCAGCAGTTACGATAGAACCCGAGTACTTTATTGTTTATTGTTGAATTGTTAATAATTAGATCGAAACTTCATTTTGAAAATGTACTATTATAGCAACGGTGAAACGCGTTTTTTATTTTTTTTACATATCATTCTTTCGTTAAACACTGACCAAACACAGTTACTAGGCCGCAGTCAGGTCCGCCACAATACACTATGCTAGATTTTTAATAGAAACGTCTAAAATTTGAGTTTTTTTTTCCGAAAATGTGAATTTCGTACTAACATCGCTATAATAATACTAATTTATTGTGTACAATTAAACTCGTTGCTTGTAAAGTGTTATAGACGTTTCCCGCGTTATCCGCCGGCCGCCGTACCAGCATGTAAATAATAATAGTTTATTGTTTCCAGGCACATTATTACCTTGGTTTTGTTAGTGTTGTTTTAAATAGTTTGTATTCTTTTAAATTTACTATTTGTACTCAATTAATAATCTTAAGTTTTTACACATTAATTTATTATGTTATTTGCATATCGTTTAAATTTAAAACTGAACCACGCCGCATAAAATATGGATAATTCGTTTATAATCAACGGTTACAGTTACAGCCGACCAATTGAAACCGGTCATATCCGGTTGGCCACTCTTTTATTAATATTATTATCTATTAGCTATCTAGTCGGTATTTTCGGGAAAAATGCGACAATAAGGCGTATACTTATTAATAATGTATTTTATTAGGGTAATTTAAATATAGCAACCAAGAAAAATTACATACCAGGTAGGCAATTAAATTCGTTTAAAATTAAAATAATTAACTTTACGTCTTAGAAGAAGAAGAAAAAAAAATAAATAATAAAACATCAGTAACTGAATTCGTATACGTACATTATCATAATGACGACGGAAAGTTTTGGTAGGCATTTGATAATAGTAATAAAAATAATAATATATTTATATTTTTAAATATATAGGTACACACGTATATATAGTTTTAATTTGAATTAATTATGAATGAATTATTATTAAGGCGCGCACTGCGGTCTGACGTCGACACACGGAAGGGAATGTCGGGTGGGAGTGGGAGAAGGGGAAACAAAACTGGATTAAAAACCAAATTATTCCGAACAAAAGTAACGCGTAATAACTATTATTATTACGTACGGGTATATACATTTATTATTCTCCGCAGAAGACCAAGTATAATAAGTAGGTGCCTAATTTAACTATTTAAAAAAAAAAAAGTCTAAACGCACACTTGTACGTATAGAAACAATATGCAATTAAAAAAACCTTGATCTCATTATTCAAGAGTATTAGCATAAAAATATTATACATATATATGCAATTAATTAATGATCATCGCATTATTACGAGTGGGTACGTATGTTACCCATTGTAAAACCTGACCTCGGGCATATGCACAAAGTTAATAATAAGGTTATTATGTATTATTATTACGACGTGCGTAAATTCTGTACTTGACATTAATACAAAAACCGCAATGTTTTTTTTTTTTTATTTTTAGGTGTTTGCATTATTATAATAATAACTATTGATAAATCAATGTTGAGCAACAGTTTATTATTTTTGTGAAAATATGAATACACAAGTACTATTTGCTATAAGTATACACCGAACAGGAAATTATACGTTACCAAATTCTCAGACAGATAATAATAATATTAGTTATAATAAATAATAATAATATAATTATGCGGAATAATTTCCACGGGTTGGTAACGTAAACGAATGTACTGATGACGTCCATAGACGTCATCAGTTGAAACAAACTCACGGAGTGTGGCGAGTGTCTTGAATAATCTTTTCAAATCGGTTTTGGTCTGATGAAGTCAAGGAGTAGTCGGCGGATCATCGATAAGTCCTAGTCGAATGTCCATTCGAATTACGTATAATTATATAAATGTACACTTATTAATGGGTTGAGTGATGTTTTTGTGTACGTTCAAATTTAATATATCCGATATTATGAGTATATTAGTGCGACCGTATTATGATAAAAGCGAGAAAATTATACATTTTTACTCATAGAGCAGCGTACAGCTATTAATTTGCAATCCCGATAAAAATGGCGAAACGGGTTAATGAGACGGGTCCTAAAATTAACAACGGGAAAAGAAGAAAGGACGCATTGAATATAAGCCAAAATAGAGGTTAATAGACACAGTTAGGAAGCGTGCAATAGAATTTGGAATACAAGTGAAGCTTTAGCTCAGGATAGTGATGGATGATGGATGTCGGTATTTATTCGGTAATAGGCCTCAATGGCTTTTGACGAACAAGAAGAGAATTATCATCTATGACATTTGTATTATAACAATTGGTCGGTTTTTTATTGAGAAAGTTAGACAAAGAAAGCTCAAGTCAGTGCTGTCAATTTGTTTAGTTTATAAATGTATCAAATATTCGGTCATGTACTCATGTGACATTCTTCGTTATTATTATAATACGTACCACTGTGAATTACAAATGACTTACGTAGGAATTTAAAGGGCATAAGAGGTGAATGCTTTTAAGTCTTAACAGTAATAAGTTAACATTTTTAATCAATTAATTAATTAAACAAATTAATAAAATACAAACAATTATTATACTAATGAAACACAATGTAAAAAAAGACGGACATACTTCGCACAATGGGTGCAGCCACTTTTATTGGTGAGACGTTAGAAACGTAAAACATAGAGGGGAATTTGTATTTGTAAGCAATGATAAACCATTGCTTACTAAAAACGATTCTGAACGGAGTTCAGTTGATAGTGATGCTTTGTCAATAATATATGTCATACTATGGTAATATAATTAAATTAGGCATTAGGTATATATTTTCTTTAATAATATTGTATCGATTTTTCGGTTTTGTCTTCGTTTTTCCCGGTTTCTCCATTTCCCCCCAATTTTTCAAATTTTCTGTGAAAACTCTTGGGAAAATTGAAAAATGACCTCCTTAAAGTACTTTCCCAGTCAGATTTCCTTTCAGAAAAAGTGCTATCATTATAAATTGGAGTAAAATTCTGGTAGAAAAGTTGTTCATAGGAAAAAAAGAGGTAATATTTTTTAACTAATAGGTACCTATATTTCCTATATTTTCCCATTTTTCTCATTTTTTTTCTTTTATTGGGAAAACTGCCGAGAAAATCCAAAAATGACCTCTTTGAAGTACCACCCAAAGAAAATTTCCTTTTAGAAAAAAATCTACATCGTATACATCGGAGTAAACTTTCTGGTAGAAAAAAGTATTTACATAAAAAAAAAAAAACATCTTTGTAAAACCAATACATTCTTGATTCTTCGCTACACTTAGAATGTAAATAGACTAATACTTCTGATGGGTGTATCATTGTTTTAGGAAGAATATATATAATAATTTTAATTGATATCTGTATGCTACGTTAAATTATTATTAACAAAAAACGATGCTGAGCAGAGGATACCAACTTCGCTCAGTTGAGTGAAAACTCATCAAAAATAAAAGTAAAGTCGAAGTAAAAAATTTGCGAAATTTTACAAGATATTTGTTTGTCTTTTTTGTAAAGAAGCTATAAATTACAACTTTACATAAGAGACAAATAAACAATGTGACTATTTAGCCCTTTCTCATGTAAAAACCGTCCGATTATGCGTTTTGTAATGAAATAATCCGATGAAGTTCGTATACAATGGTATTGTACATACAGGTATATATAATGACTGATTAACATTTCCAATTTCAAAAATCGTTTTGTTTTTTTTTTAAATTAATATTTGAGAAATGAATGGTCGTTATGGTTACCGACTTTTTATAATAGTCTGCATTAACTCGTATAGCAAAAAAAATAAAATAAATAACATATAATAATAAAATGTCAAACACTTAAACGCTTACGAAATATGTTCGGCGTTTAATAAAATACAATATTTATTGCTGAAAACTAGCAGTTTACTATATATTATTAATAATAAAAAAAAAAAAAAAAAATACAATAGCGCAAAGTGTATATTATGTATAGGTACGTGATGGACCATTCGATGTGGAGCCTGCAATAATGGGTCGCTAACCTGCCCTCTCTCGTCAAACTGTTCTGTGGATTATACACATTTTTTTTTTCCTACCGTATAATTGACTATATATTATTATTGTTGTACTTATATATTTTTGTAAAATAAAAAAAATGAATTACAAATATTTAGAACATATTTTCAGTATAACGTTCGCAATAATTGATAATATAAGTAGTTTTTAGAAATATGTTTGATAAAATTCGTAATTTTAACCGGTATTACGTTACACGAAATTGTAATATAATAAGATCACCGATAATAATTATTATTATGGAGACCGGAATTATATGCATTTGAAAGGTGTCAAATATACGATGCAAATATTCAAAGAAAAAGTTGCGACACATGCAGTTTTCTGCATTATACATAATATGTTATGGGTATACAGCTCATAAAAATAATGATTACCTAAACGATAAGGGATTTTTTTTTTTTTTTTTTTGCATAACTGATTTATCTGATAATTGGATTTATTTATTTTAAAAATTTGATTTTCGCAGGTCCATTTTACAAAACTAAAAGACTAAATAGGCAAATTGAAATCAGCCACGCACCTGGACGCGGCGGGTTTGTCAAGAACGCGGTCAATGCATAACTTTACAGTAAATGTATTTATGAATCCACATATGCAAACGTTTAGTCAATAATTCACTAAACATGCAAAATAAAATTCGACGTTTGCATTCAACAATTCTTACGTCATTGACATTTCGAACCATCATACATGTGCATATTATAAACCGGTAGATGCATTTAATTCCTGGTTCTACTGATAATGTAGGCAATAACTAATAATACATATTTTACGCTAAACATATTTGTAAGTACTGTTGTTGTTATTTTTGTCGAATTGGTTATAGCGAATTTAATATTGTGTCTGTTACAGAACGAGGGTCTATAATTAGTCACCGTGAAATTCATTAGTAACAAGAGCCTAGGGAAACCAAAACAAATGTGGAAGAACTAGGAGGAGGATCAGATTGGAAGGCGCGAGTATCGGATCGAGATGGACGGGCTGAATGTATGACGGGATAGTCCTAGAGGTCATTTTTTAACCCAAAAAAGAAGAACAAGAAGTTACGTCCTTTTACTTGTTACTTTTAGAACTTTAGCGGCCAAGAGCCCCTTTTGGTCCCTAAATCAAAATTAGCTCGACCTTAAGGATTTTAATTATTGCTTTGTTGGCGGATCGAGTTGATACAAGTTCAAGTTCAATATAAATTCCATCATGTCGACGCAAGTGGCGGGTGTTTTTTTTAGCTTTGAACACTCCTACAGATTCCTCAAATGAAGCTAGGGCGGTGAGATTGTTTATGTTCACGATGCAAGCGTTAAAGATATTATGCCGTTTGTGTGTTCAAACTTTCAGTTCGTTTTACCATTTTCACGCTCAAATTGTATCCGTTCTTCGAAAGAATTATAATAATATGGTTTTAGTATATTACAGTATTGTTTAGCTGTAAAGAATATTTCTATGACATGAACAGTTAACTCTATAGCAGTGACGAAACTCTCGTTCTCTATGAATGTATTATTTTAGTCCCGCCATCAAAACTAAAGCCGTTTAAAATCGGTATAAGTGCGTATACGAATTTCATTGCACGGATTATAATGTTCATAATTAATTTTAATAATCATTGCCATTAAGTTTATTCGTAGAGTTTGTGTATAGTATTTGAATTTTCCATAAAATCGCAATAAATAACGGGATTCATATCCGGTTCCGCTTCCGAATTCTCTAACCTCATTGAATGTTTCGAAAACCGTAGCAATTTGTTTGTTGCCGTTTTGTTGTTTACTTTGTTTTGGCGATGTTGTTACAAACGTAGGTAATTATTATTTTTATTACTACGGATTGGTTTTTTTTTGTTTAGTTTTAATTTTTTATTATACCAAAAGTCTGTTAATTTAATAAAACATCCTAAAACCTTGAAACAACTGGCCGTTCGGCCAAACAGGTACACGATAACGATATTAATAGCTATATATACTACAGCCTTTTTTAAACTTGTTTTTTTTTCCCCGGGTATTTCTAAATTATTCTAATAGTTCGAATTTAAATTCGAGTCAAATTTAATTATTTTCGAATATATTATAATATACGTGAATAAAATATTATATATACGACGAAGAGGAACAAAATTATCGTGCGCGTTATGAAACGTCCCTCCGAAATGGTACGCGTTTAGTAAAACAGACAATTTTCGGAACGTCGCTTTTGTTTCGAATTTACAAAGCGCTGTGCGCTTTACGTCCAACAGTCACCACTAGATATGTATAATATTGTGCGAAAACTTCCAAAGAAGAAGCGACGCCATACTATTTATAATATTGTAAACGAGATTTTTTTTCTAAAAATCTCTGAAATTAAAACGGCCGCGTCTGAACAGTCTGAACATTCTGAACGGTCCCGGGAAAATAACGCCCGTCGCGGCCTATTATAATATTGATATTATTTGCTAACCGAGTGTCCAACTGTTTTTATTGTGACCATTTTTTTTTTCTGCTTCTCAGTTGTCTTCTCGCGATACTCATTTGAAATCCGCCGTACCAATATGGAAAAAAAAAAAATAAAAAAAAAAAAACAAGACTAGAAAATCTCGATAATGATGGAATAAACATTCGTAACGAATACCGAAAAGACTACACAATATAAATATTTTCAAAAATGGAAAAAAAAAAACAGTTTAATGAATTATTAATAATTATTAGAATATTTTACGGTTCGTGAATATTATCGATTGGTTAATTCCAATTTCAACGATACAGTATATATATATTATATATATACGTGCGGAATTTTATTTAAACAGCGCAAAAAGTCCTTGAATGTGTAAGGTCGAGTTTTTGTGATATTATATTAACGTAAGGTATCAATGACGATCAATCGAATATTACAATAATTATTTTTTAAAAGATTCTAAAACGTTCTGAAATACATTACAAATATATTATCAGTATCTATCGCTATAAATCTTTTGTCCCCTCAACTTAAACCGATTTTGGCATTTTTTTTTTTTTTTTAAATAATTTCGTTTTATGTATTTGTTTCCCTTTATTTTTTTCTCTCCTAAACGACACACACGTGTATTCATAAGAAATATCAAAATATCACTATGATGTACATTTTGTTTCGCGAAAAATGGCATCGTGCGTCACAGAATTATGTAACTTGAGCCATTTAGTAGTCAATAAGTAGTTTTACCATTATGCAATTATCAAAACTTAATTTATTTGCATTGAAAATCGTAAAAAAATCGAGTGAAGCCCTTTATCTGCAAGGCTAAAGAATTATAGAATATTGATGTAATGTATTTAGATTATCCTAATATTATTATAATATTGTTTGAATGAGTGTGTGTTAGGTACCCGTACCCGCCAAAATTATCGAACGGATTGAGCTGACACTATGCACAGATGTAGTTGTAGACCATGAATGACATATAGACTACTTTCCCCCCGCATTCAAGCTTTAAACAGGGGCTGACACAGGATTATTGGTATTTTTATTACGAAAATCGATTTATTTTTATTGACCCATGGATTATTTTAGCGACACTGATAAAAAAAAAAATAAAAAGATAAAAACAAAAAACTAACGAACCTATTTCACACGATAGATGAGCCACTATTGTTGGTGAGAAGTGGGGAAGGTAAAGGGGAAATCTATGTGAATCTCTAAGCAATCATTGCTAAAGAAAAACGATTCTGAGCGGACTTCGGTTATACATGGTTTGAAAGGCCATGGTTTGTAATACTTACGATTCGAAGGGAAAATTAAAAAATGACCTCCTTAAAGTACCACCACAATCAGATTTCGTTTCATTAAAAGTTATGCGCTTGAAAATCTGAGCAGAATTTCCGGTTGAAATGTTATTCAGAGAAAAAAAAAATACGAGTGGTAAAAATTAACACCATTGTGAAACCAATACATTTCTCGTTCCGTTCACAATATAAAAACCAACAATTACCTATTAGTTTATTTGGTTGTCGAGGGTAAAGAAGTGCCCTTAAAAAAAAAAAAAAAAAAAAAATTACGGGGCAAAAACGGATAACTATTAGACGCCTACGATTAGACATATTATTATATCATGTCACAGCGCGTGATTCCGAATAAATACAAATTATTTGTGAAATCGACTGTTGTCAGTCCTACACCGTCGCCGTAATAACGACAGTATCAAGCCGATTCTTAAAAACAATACTACAAATCCATTGTCCGCACGTATTCGTTTTTAATACCTTTTACGTGTTATTTTGCGCTCGTGGGGGAGAGGGCAATTATGTATTTAAAATGATATACACGACATGTATTACGCGTATATAGAGTTGTCGGAGAAATTAAAAAGAAAAAATAATAATAATAATAATATAAGTACATAGTTCAATTGTTACCTGTATATGGGCGTTTAATTGAATTTATTGTCGATTATATAGAGAGGCAAACATGTTTTTTAGTAGGTACGCACATATATATATATATAATAATTATTATCTTTTAAGATACCATATTTATACACGCGAGTTGAATTCAGCGGTTTAAACAAGCCAATTTAACAACAACCCGATAAAATTATCGCGGTGTTCGTATTATTATTTTATGTAACCGTCTGTGCCGTAATAATTATTACAGTGATGATGTCGTTGACAGCGTGTGCGTAACATGCGCAGGCGGTTCGATATTATCGGTCGACCGAAAAAAAAAAAACACTTGCAACGTCCTCGGGTGCGGTTTATGACAATGCAAATAGCACAATACGAGTACGCGCAACGCGGACGAATCAAACCGACCGATGTTCTTCCCGCGGACGGCACAACGTGATATCGACAACGATATCAACGAAAATACAGTTCAGCACTCGTTATTATACGGCGTACGATAGCGATCAGTGCGAACGCAGATTAGAAAAGAAACCGATCGCAAACGCGCGTGGAAATGTGCAAAACGGCGGACCGTAATCTGTTTCGAATTTCCCGTTTACCGTGACATGATGCTCGCGTTTTCAAAAAAAATTGAAATTTACACGCTTGATTTCTGTTACAGAAGAAACGCCGTGTGAACGTTTGTCCGTTTGTTGCGCGATCGTTCCTCGGGGCTTTGCCGGTGAACACAATAATATCCAGTGATAAAGAAAACTCGCAGACTGTTGAGACAGAGGTGCTTCTACACAGCTACCGATATTGTGCTCGTAGACGTAGCCCGCGAGCGAATCTGAATCTTTGCGGTCCGTACACCAGGACGGTGAAATCGGTTATCGATTAACCCGTGAAATATGATTATTGATGCCATGCGTTTTGCGACTATACGGATGATATTCGAAACAAATCGCAAACACGGATATCATAATATAATACACTATCAACGAGTACGTATGTATCGGGTGCCTCATTCATTAGTATGGTATGTATTTGGTATGGTACGGTTACATTTCGGTTGTCAATCTGACGAAATGCAACAACTTTTAGACATTCTGCGTGTTTTTTGTTTGTTTGTGTAATAAATAATTGTTATTATTCTTTTGCTATATTATTTTACACCATATGATACCTTTCAATCAATCACATCGTGACCGAAACGTGCCGAAGCACGAAGAATCTTCACCGACTGTTCAAGTAGCACTCAGCGAAATTAATACGGAAGCGATACGCCTATTTTTATAACATAAATTTAAGTAGAAAAGTATAAATAATTATTAACAGTGTATTTTTTTTTTTTTCAGAACATGCACATCTTATTAAATGTATGCTAATAACCACCGCTGTTGAGGTCTTAACTGATAATAATAATAATAATAAAAAAAAAAAAATGTATACGAGTTTATATACCACATAACGTTCATGAGCCTCGAATTAAATTTCACGTCTTATCACTAAATTGTAATCTATATTTTAATATAATATATATTTGTGATGGCTGATGCAACCTTCATAATTTTTATGGTACTATATCCGTAAAGTCGACCGTTAATAATTTTATTTTGTTTTGAACGTATCGTTATGTATATAATATAATGTTATAAAATATATCTAGTTGTGTTACCAGTGAATTTGTTTCCGAATTTACTTGTGTGCATTTTACGTGTTTAATCTAGTGATAGTCCAGTGATAGTATACTTATACTCTGTACATCTTAGTCCAAATTAGTGGAGCCTCCAGTCACAAACCACTTTGACCTTCACCGGCGACATACTATTTCGGTCCAATATTTAAATCGCCAATCTTTCAGCCCCCTCAACTGGGACCATTAACCATAAACTACATACCGTCCTCTCGTCATTGTAAATTATTTCAACTATTTATCTAACAATCTTTAATAACAATTATCTCAAGAACCCATTCAAGAATTCCATTTCGGGCCTAAAATCATCCGCTTAACCACTTCAAAGGTGTCACTGTAATATTTTTGTACAAAATTGTCAAATCTGAATTATCATAATGAGCAGTTGAACTTGACACTCCTTTTAATATTTTAAAAATTTGGGATGGGGTGGATTTTATCCGGTCCAAAGCTATTATGCGTATGCATCATGTATAGATTCATTTTCCGTAGGTCAAGTTATAATAATAGTTGGTTAGTTTTCTTCAGGCTAGAGTAGTTATTAGGGGTTAAATTATGGTGGTGGTTGGTCGCTGTAAGTTAAAGCCCCTGGAAATCATACATTTTTGAACAAATTGGAGTAGACTTTCGTCCTCTATTTCTTTCCTTCTTTGGGGTGGAATATTTAAAAATATTTTCTTATCGAATGCCTACGTCATTATGGCTATTTGTGTGCCAACATTTAGCGCGATCCGTCCAGTGTGCAGTGGTTTGAAGTGTGGAGGTGTGCGTTGATAGATTAGTCAGACACGTTTGCCTTTTAAGTATATTGATATCTATGATAAAACTATACGGAATATGTTTGGCAAACCAAATGTAGTATCAGTTTTAAGTTGGATAAATAATCGCCATTTCAATATAACATTATTATTATTATTATTATATTTTTTTTTTTTTTTGGCAAACGTTATATTCAATTTTTTTTTTAGTTCGTCATAGATAAGTGTGCAAAAAAAAAAAAAAATAAAAATAAATTAATAAATAAAAAATACCTGAAGTATCGTATTAATTTGTTTCATAGTCACATATAAAATATAATATTTTGTTTGTATTTTTTTTCTAGCAAGAACGATTCTCGGAACAGCCACCGTCGCCTTGCCGTAAGAGTCGTCTAATTAAAAATAATTAGAAACTGCAGTAATCATTGTCCGTAAATGAAATATATATATATTATTATAATGTTCCTGGAACACAACATATTATTATATTTTATTTTCCTCCTAACGTAACAATAATAACTATCAGGTGTATGTTATATTTTTTTTACTATTTATATTATTTTTTTTCTATCTTTTTTTAGCGCGTTCAAAAGTGAACACCGAGAACGGTGGCCTGGCGAGTGCGCTGCAGCTGTTTAGGGACTTCACATTGCGTATACGAGATAGCTGTACGTGCAGACTCCTGCATGAATTGACGGCGGTGGTCCATTCCAGCGGAGTTTTTTGATGAGGTCCATTTTAATGGACCTCCACTTTCAAAATATGAACTTTTGAAAATGCCAATAAAAATCGTTAAAACATAATATTACCATTTTGGATTTCAGTGAATTTATACATTTCAAGTGATTTCAGCTATAAACACGTTGTCTACGTTCTATAAATTCGGGCGGTCAAACGTGGCGATTAGGGAAATAATTCCCCTCATTTCTCCCTATGACCTCATTTACATTCAATTTCTATAGAAATATATGTATCTAAATAATAATAGTTAAAAAATTATCTTAATGTTAATATTTATTGACATAAATGTGAAAATAACTTGTTAATGATTTCTAGTACTTGAATACAGGTCATTCAAATTTCAATGATACAGTCAAATTTGCCATAAAAAGCTAACTAATGTATGTAAAAACGTCTTGTATATTTTAACATATTCCATTGTATTTATTTTGGTCACTCTTATTTTTAGGGACAAAACTATACCTACTTTTGATTTTCAAATGTTTCAGATGACCTATGTTAAAAATTCAATAAATAAATGGAATGTTATTTTAAATGTATGTTTGTGTTGAAATCATTGATTTCCGCCAACTCGTTGACGAGATGTAACACTTTAAAGTTTGAGTAGGAGAGTGAAAAAAGTTTCAAAAATCCACGTTTATAAAATAAAAATATAAGTTTTCTGTCAAAATTTCGAATCTCTACGAATTTTTTTTTTACTGATTTACAACAAAAACAAAATTGACAATTATAAAATCATTATTTTCGTGAACTTTGTCGTATTTCTCCATTTTTTCCGGTTTCGCTCAATTATTAAGTAAACTGCGTGGAAAAACAAAATACTTCTGGCTCATCAACTAGATCCGAATTCCAACAAATAAGGTCCCTTGTCGTTTTTCAATTGGAGGAAGTTTTCTGGTCGGAAAGCTGCTAACTGCAGACACAAACAAATTTAAAAAGAAAACACACATCATAATAAAGTCAACAAATCCCTCATCACGCTCAGAATTTACAGTATATTTTGTATTTTTTTAAGGAAAAACTTTTTTCAAATAAATTTTAAAAATCGATATATATATATTTTTTTTTATAATGTAATCATTATACTATTATTTTATAATAGAATTTCACTATACATATTTCAGCAAATTTATTCAAAACCTCTTAACTTGTTTTATTATAACAGAAAACTTTCTTTCAATGCTTAACATATTTAGATTAGTAAATCTGGTTTGTTGCATAAAGGAACCTCAAATATGATGTGTTTAGACGGCGATATTCCCGTGTGCCACCTTCGTATTATAAAACAATAGACATTGCATATTTCCGTTCAGTAGGAGCTATTCTTATATTATACTACATAGAGATACGCATCGTTCCCTCAGCAGGATCCACCAATCCACTCAAGCCCCAAGTAGCATCATAATCCTCGATACGCCTATGATCATCGGTTATTTTACTAAAATTAAAAAAAGAATGTTTTTATAACGCAACTTCATATAACATCACTAGACTGACTGGAAACAGTTAATCGAGAAAAACAGAAAAAAAAAACCTGACATACTATGCAATGATGGGTGCAGCCATTCTTGTGGACGGGAAGTTGGGAAGATGTTATTTTCAATATAATTTAATTAAAATAAATTGTAATAGCACTGATTGGCAAATTGGCAAATTGAACAAACTGGCTGTTTTAAAAATTGTTAAAAAGTGAAAAAATACTGTTATTTTTTTTTTCAATGATTAAGACATGAAAATAAATATTTAATTTTTCTCAACATTTGTATCCTCCTTATACAAAGCTCGATTGAAAAAAAAAATAAACATTGACAGAATTATTAGTGTTCAGAAAACACCGTAGGATATTCTGGATAATGTAAATCATACATGTATATTACACGCACATGTACTTCAAATAAATAAAAAAATATGTAAAATAAAATAAAACAACACCTGGAGTATATTATGTAGGTTGTATGTTTATACCTACTTTTGATTTCAAACCATCATTCCTTTGTGTTATTTCACACCTTTTTAGAGGATACTTTTTGAACCAATAAGTAACTAGTGCGTAACAAGCAGCTCCGAAATTATCCGTTATGCAGAACTATAGAAAAATATTGTAATCAAGAATTAATAATCCATACACTGTTTTCCATAAAAAAATAATAATAATACGTGTTTATCGCTAAAATCACTAAAAATTTATAAATTCACTAAAACTCAAAACGGTAATATTATGTATATTTTAATGATTAACATTTTGGACGTACCCATAAGACTATAATATTAATATATTTATCCGTTCATAATGATAACAATGTGTATTATAATTTTGTATCGTCTGGATATTTAGACAATGGTGAAATAACTTAACGTCTGTATGATTATGCAATTAAAGTGCAATTAAATGGGCGAGCGATTGACCTCCTCTTTTATAAGCCTTGTGATATTATTTTTTGTTATGCAAAATATCCACAATTTTTAAGTACAAATATGTACAAATGAAACTGGTTCTAAATGCCATAAAGATGATTTTGGATCTTGGAAATACTTTGATTGAAACATGAATGAAACACTTCTCATTTGTAAAATTCCAACATATGTTCTCTCGAGGGTAAGATTGAATAACTGTGGAAAACTAAGTGGGAAACAATTAATTTGCAAAGATATAATAAAATAATATATTTTTAGAATCAAAATTGAAAGCTGAAAAGTTTAAAATTAGATTCTGAGTGTAGCGAAGAATGTACAATGATGTTTTTTTTTACCGTGACAAAATTTTTTACCAGAAATCCTGCTTCAATATGTAAATGTAACACTTTTTTTGGCCATCTAATTTTAATTAATTTTTTTTTTTTATTTTTGTTATTCATATTATTATTTATTTAATCTAAAAGAATTAATTTAACTTTTAAATTGTACTTTTTTACTGTATGGGTACAATATATCTGCAGTATTCCAAGCTAATAAAAGTTGAAATGACATCAGACAAAAATGTTTTAAGTTTTTGCTATCCAAAGCGGTGGTATTCAAGACTAAAAGTCGTTCGCCCCCTCCCCTCATGGAATTTACCCGAAGACGCTCCTGAGCAATACTATTAACCGGTCTCCACTCAGAATCATTTTTTGTTGGCAATGTTCAAATAAACTCAATTTCCCTGAATATCCTACCTTCCCAACTTCTCATCTATAACAGTGGTTCACCCATCGTACGAAGTGTGTCCGTCTTTTTTCTTATCAATCATTAATATTAAAGTTAATAATTTCGCTCCCTCCCATATTTAAGGTTTAAAAACGTCCCTGTGCCGGTTAGTTATTCAGTTGGAGACAAACATTTATTAATGATGAATTAAAATAAACTTGAAATATTTTTAGTGTCCTATTTCATCCTATAATATATAATGTCATGTAACTATTTTTTTCAAATCTATTTTGTTTTATTAACTTTTGAAAAGACTGAAGACAGTCATTTCATAGAGATTAGTCTTCTGAACATTTTGACGTATTATATTTTTATTTCCATTAAATTCGTGGTTTTTAATAATTTTTTAAAATTCCGAGAAAAAATGTGTACATTTAATTATAGCCATAACAATAATAGTCCATTAGCGAATGCAATCACACCCTGCTACGTAATAAAGTACCAATAATTATTGGTACTTTTTAATGATAAATGAAAATAAAAAGTTGGAACGTCATATTTTTCGGATGAATATATACCTACTCTATGAAACTGCTGGTTTCAAATTTTTGGATAATGATAAAATAAAAAGTTAGTTTTTTTCAACCAAAACATAAACATTTAATTTAATTACAAATATTTGTAGTCCTTATCTATGCGAATAATATATATATATAAAAAAAAAAAAAAAAAAACCTGAATTTGATTATCTGTATTATTTCAGGAGATGTTGCAACGGGTATATCTTCGTGGGATACCATGCAGACTACGGCGACGAGAGAAAAAAAAGTCGGTTTTTTTTTCCAGACCGACGGTTACCAGAGATAACGAAAACCGCATATACCTCTACCGCCAGCTATTATTATATTATTTATATAAGAGCCATATGAATATTAAACAGCGATTTATCTAATCGAACCGATCGATCCGCTACGCATTTATTACACTGTAAAAAATAATACCGACTATACGGCTGCAGACAACTACTGCAGTCAGTCAATTCGATCGGTAACGTGGTCGTCGGTGATGGGTGTGTCACACTGCGGCCGCACGACAAAACGAGAAAAAAAATAACGAATTTTATTAGCAAACTGTTAATACATATGAAAAAAAAAAAAAAAAAAAAAAATTTTTAAAAATAATCGTGTATAAAACGTCATTGTAATTCGTCTCGTATTTTATATAATAACAAGACGAGTCTCTAAATGCGCATAAACAATATAATAGTTGTCCGACGGTGCGGCGGCCTGTGTCTCGGTGTTTATGTAGGAAGGTGTAATAAGTACGGTTTTTAAGGCGCACTACAATTATTGTTATTATTATTATTATTTTAGAGACCGGATTTTTTAGCGCATAAAACGTGGAGAATAAAACAACACATAAGTGTTCTGTAATATTAATTGTGCGAATCGGAAACAAAAAAAAAGTAAACAAAAAGAGGGACTATGAGACTTAAAACAAAAACCAGCGCACCTAACGATTATTTCGGCGGTTTTGGGTCTAGTTGCTCGCGAAGAGAGTAGTTTTCTGATTTTCCTAATAGTTTTCGTAATAATTTGAAAAACCGAAAAAAAAAAAAAAAAGACGAAAAATGAAAACTGATCAATTTACGGTGTCACTGTTCTTTTATTTTAAATTCGTACGGCCTTTGTTTTCTACCAGAAATATCGCTCCAATAAAAAAAAAAAACGACAAGAGATTAAATATTGATGTTGCATTCTAGTTGGTGAGTAAGAAAGCCGTTTTTCAACAGTAGCCCACCCGTGGTACGAAGTATGTCCGTCTTTATTTATTTTATTATACATATTATAAAACCGTTGACAATGTTATGCGAAGGTATTGAACTTACATTTGTGTGTTATGTATTTTATTTTGTATACAATTTTTTGTTTCGCCCGAAAAATGTTGGTGTTTAAATTTTCGTCGAATTACCGTATTACCACACAACGCGTTAGTGCAACGCAAAATAACAAACGGTAATAGTAAAAAAACTCATCGGTAATATAACTAATTTGTTTTATATTTTGAGACTTAGATAATCAATGACATTGATTTCTAAAAACAAAAAAAAAAAAAATATTTACAATACTGAATGTATCCGAATTGATAATGGATATAATATATATATATATTTTTTTTTTTTATGAAAATAACGTATTTGCAAAAAAAACCCACCGTTCCATTGTCCCAACAGAAATATTTATCAAGGGGATGCTAAACAAAAATAATTATTATAATTATGGAATAAAATGTTACCGGTTTCTACTTTTCTATGTTTTCTGGTCATAACCATGCATATAATTATTCAGACCATTATAGAGTATATTACAGTTGCGGTCGAACGTTACTAGACGTTTTCTTTGAGAGCACGGGCTCGAACCCGATAAAAGTCGCTATATTTTTTGTATATTTTTTTATTATTTTTTTTCAAATAAATCCATACACGTTCGACAAAATTTCCTAAAATATCAATATATTCTTAAGAATATAATATTATCGTATGACCATTTCAGTTATTTCAGCCATCCGTTCATTCGGTTCGTTGTCAAACGAATTTAGTCGAGAAAGCTCGACCAATTAGAACTGTATATAGTGTATACAGTCTCAGTAAAAAAACATCTTAACGTGGATAATTACAGTGTGAATACAATTGAGTGAGGTACGATTAAAATACATTTTGATTTTTTTTTTTTTTTTTACTCGTATTTCAACATAACATCAGCAGCTCTGTAAACATACATGATACAATTTATAATAATTACGAAGCGCATCATAAATTCGAATTATTATACTATAGGTACGTGTTTCTTCGTATATATTACATATAGGTATTATTATAAAAACATGGTGATTGCATACTATATAGTTCAATAATCTCATAATAATAGGTCACTCCCATTAGTATCCACACACGAGTAACTTAAAATGTGTATTTAGAAAAGAAAAAAAAAAAAACAAAATATGTTGCAACACTAACGTATAATAGCTAGCGCCGCGTCTAGGGAATTTACGTTTGTAGTATACAAATTTGGATATCCGGTCTGTGCATAATGTATAGGCACCGTCGTGAATGTCTACGTAACATAGGTATTTTAGTCGGCGACGACGATGTCTAGCGGATGGTATAAATGCGAATTCCGCGATTTGGTCGCTAACAAATATTTACCGTAGGTATAATAACCTAATTGAAGATTGTTCGATTCCGAAAAAAAAAAAAAAAAAACCAATTGTTGATCTTAAAAGCCGTTACGGTAGAATTTTCCACCGTTGCAGTCTTTATCTAACGGTATATCGAAAATGTCCAACGCAAGTCCAATACCAAAATAAAAAAAAAAAACCTTAAAATAGGACAGAAAAAACATCTATTCTAAAATTTGTAGATGATCACACGGATAATCTTGTCGGCGTTTTATTAAACATTTATCATTTAAAACGTAAAAAATATAATGTTTTGTACCTTCGATAATACGATGAATTTAGAGAATTGTAAAACGCCGACGCCGACGTCGTCTATACGTTATACTATAACGTCAGATATTGGAATTTTTAATACTTCTTTTTCAACTTCGTCGCCAAAAAGAACACGGCAAGCGGGTAAAATAAGTTTTTTTGCTATGGTATGCGGTTTCATTTGTTTAGCTACAAGCTCTGCCGCTAGATAACTAGCTCCTTGAGTTTTATCAGATATGGTCACTGTTTTTGTCACTTTTTTCAGATTGTCGTGTTTCTGATTTTAGTAAACGTCGAAAACGTCAAGCATTTTTATCGACCAAATGAGAATGCCCGGTGGAAAAATGGCGTTTTAGTTTACCCGGAGAACCATTGATTCGTTTGACAGTTCATCGCCACATACAAGACACCGCGGACGAGGATCGTCTACATTTCCGGACCAAGAAAATCCCGTGTTTAAATAATCTCCATGATATTTCGACGTCTTGTATTTAATTTAATTTTCTTCTTTGGTTTTTCGCTCACTGAAGTGCTGTCAGTCGAACGAATTATAAATGCATCCATTATAGAGAAAAAAAAAAAAAAAAAAAATTAAGTATTATTTAAAATTTACCATTGCAGGACAAAAGTCGTTAAAAACGCAATATTCCGCGACGCGGACGTAAAACGAACTCGGGACGGCCGCGACGGGCAATCTAACATTAAACACTATTACAGTATTATACGTATCTGCGATTAATGATCGGCCCGTATTTATATTTGTTAGTGATCGGTTTTCGATCGAACATCGATAATAATACGGGCAAATAAAAAATTTACTCTATTAATAGATTTATCTTATCGCGGCACACTTCAAGGGGCGCGCCGGTTGAAAACCACTGCGTTATACAAGAACACTTGTTTGTCGTCAGTTTAGTCGATTCTGGAAATTATTAATTTTTTAAACTGTTCGTACCGTACCTTGGAAAATACGGTTTTTTTCGACCGGCCATGATTTATTTCGATATTTTTCTAGATTTCTAATAGTTTTTTTTGTTTTTTTTGTTTTTATTGACAACAAATGACGGTACATCGGTCTCGTTGGTGTACATTTCTGGATTATCAATACGGTCGCTAGGGGCAAAAACATCGTGACCTATTGTTGCCGGCAGTTTTAGAATCGTTTTTCGATTTAACGATACGCCGCGCCATTCAAAATCCTAGCCAATGATTTAAACGTAAATGTAAATATGTCTTTTACGTTTTTACGGCTAACCGCCGAACCGATTTCGATAAATGTTGATACGTACGGGGGCGGACGGGACTTTGGAGAAAAACGCAGGCTACATTTTATGGCCGAAACAGAACTTGAAAGTGGATGAAAGGGGATTTCGGGTAGTTTCGGTACGACAGAGGCGATTGTTTTTGTCGAACCATTGTAACGCGGATGGTGGAATCAAGACGAATTTAAAACGAAAAATTAAACAATAAACAGTAATGAAAACGTCGTAAACACCGTAACAGTTCGAAACGGTTTGTGTGTTCGTCGGAGGCGGTCTATCTGCCGGTCTGCCGGTCGACCAGGCGCTGTCGTTGTTGTTCTCTGGCGGGCGAAACCGCGACGACGGCCGGCCGCGCATTTGACTGCCGAGTAGACCGAAGTGTGCGCGGACACTCAAAGTCGCGAAAGTTTCGCGCCCTACGCGCATTCCGGAGTGCCGCGTGTAGTCACGGCGATTGATTTCGAAGTCGTTTGGTCCGGGGAGGAAAAAAAAAAATTACCGTCCGCGAAATAATCGTAAAACTACCGCGCGCCGCGAGTGCCGGCGAGATAATCGCCCGTTAATAGGTTTCGCGGAGTGATAAAACCGCCGGGATTTCTACGAGCGGGCCGCCGCGCCGCCGTTTCTCGTTTCTCGATTAGTCTCTCGTCTCGACGGTTTTTCCCCCGCCCCCTCCACTTTCGCGCGGAATTCGTTCGCCGTGCGCGGGACGCGGCGGGTCGCCGCAGAAAACAGCCACCGTGACTTCGGCCTACGCAAAGTACGCGGGGCGGGACACCGGAACTGGCAAATAAACCGTCGATTAAAAAAAAAAAAAAAAAAAATACACAAAAAGACTGTTTCCGAGATACCGCAGTGGATCGCACCTACGTGTCAGACACCCCGTATAAGAACCTATTTGATTATTCAGTACCGAGTCGTAGCCACGTCCGTTCCCGCGTGGCATCATTCACGCGCAACTCGTAAATTATTAAAATTACCTATACTCGCACGCAAGTATTGCGACGTATACACGTTGCAATATTACTGAACAGGGTAATGTTGAATTTTCGTTCGGTGTCGGACCGATTCGGCGCGTTTAATTTTGAATACTAGAGTGAATCGGATCGTTCTCAAACTCTTGAACGTGAGAATATTGTCCGTGTACGTGTAGTCGGTGTTCTCGATAATTTTTGTTCTTCCCGCTGATATATTACAATTTATAAATGCGTGCGTATTTCGCTTGAAAATTAAAAAAAAAAACAAAAAAAAAAAAACCGAACGAATAAACGCGTGGCAACAAACATTCTAACGTTTGTGTTTGAGATAGCAGGTCGATCCGCCGTAAAATCAACGGCTCAGAATCGAACGTATTTCTACTGTTTTGCGATTTCGTTTATTTACGGTCCGTACAATATCGGTAATGCGTAACGGACAGGTCCGACCACCGCCGGGTTTAAGGGACGCCATCCGGTTTTCCACGTCGGTCACGTCGCACGCAACGCAATCGCACCGACCCCCGAACATTCCGATGTTCCGGAACACGGTACGTCGTGTTCGGCCGATTCTCCTCCCCGAGGCGTGTCGCGTCTCTTCGGCGCGGGTCTGCGTTACCGCCGTCCCCGATGACGGTCGCGGCTTTCGATTTCGCGATTTCGGCGCGCTCGCGGACGCGACCTCGGACGGGCGAGGTTTACGGCCTCGCGCAAAACACGAATGGAACTCGTTTTCCGTACAAGAGTCGGCCGCGGCGCACTCGTACGGGCGGCGCGCGAAACGCGAGTATTGCGCGCGTGGATGCTGCGGCCACCGCTCGGCACCGAGTCGTCCGAGTCCGAGTCTCGACCGCCGCCGTTTTTGAATTATTACACACCGTATATTATTATCATCGTTATCATCGTTATTATTGTTGTTGTTGCTGTCGTCGTCGTCCGTGCGGTTGTCGTTCGTGTGCGCGCGTCGGCGGTAATACCGGTGGCGCGCGCGGAAACCCGTCGACCGCCGGACGCGTCGCGTCGTACGCGAATATCGCGTCGCCGTACCCGACGGCGCGTATAGGAGGGGCGGGTGGGGTGTATATGTATGAAAAAAATTGAAAAAACAAACCGAGCGAGAATAAACAATAATGAAAAAAAAAAAAAAAACACGCGGCAAATAACAAATAATTCCTGTACGTTATTGCGCTGCACTATACGCGATATTGTACGCTACACGACATATTATCATTATCATTATCATTATTATTATTATTGTTGTTGTTGTTGTTACGACGATACATTGTGTCGTCGTCGTCTCGCGACTCGCGTATGCGCCGGCCGTAAAACACGCGGCCGGGACCGGTCGGCGAGTGCAGAGCGGCCGGGCATTAATACGCCGTGTACAGGCACCGAACGCGATAATAACGTTCGGCAGCGAAAACGGACGTTTTGCATCTGATACCGTCGCCGATTTCCCGGCTGCGCGCGAACTCCCGCGAAAATGGCGTTTTTCGCCTGTATTCCGAACGGCGCGGTGCGGACTCCTTACACGCGTAGTCCCTTTTCGCCTGCCCGAAAAATGGATGCCGCAATCTCATACGCGGGTCGTTTTTACCGATTCGAGGTTCTGGGCGCGAGCGGGGAATGCGTATCGGTTTCACGGCGGTGTTTGTTTGAGACGGTCGCACTCGAGTGGCGAAAGACCGTACGGTTTTGCGATTTCGTTATTTTAAATAAACGCGCGCGGCGTTTCGTACCGGCAATGGATCTCTAACGGGAAAACGACAAGAGACTTTTTTTTGTTGCGTTTCGGATGAACATTCGTAGACACTTACGAATATGAGAAGATAATAAAATGTAATAAACATATTAATCTAAGACGCCGTATCGGAAATTCTCGAACATTTCGTTAACGTCTACGTTACTTCCGTGAATTGTGAATGGGACCTGCGATGAGTCTATAATTTTAGCGGATAGCGAAATGAAAAAAAAAAAAAAATCTATTTTGTATTATAAAAATATTCAAAATGCCCAATTTTATTAATTTTTGATATTTATAAAATATAAAATCACCACGACCCAAAGCATATATTTGTGGAATGGTAAATCGGTGACACGATGGGGGGAGGGGCGTGCGTGATGGCTTCGTCCCCGCGAGACTCTGTCTAATAGCACTTGGGTGGTGGTGGTCAACCTCTAACGTCTATATTCGTCTCGTAAAATAAAAAAAAATGTTCAAGTGAAAAAAAAACATTCTATTTATTTAGGCGGTAACATAACGTGCGGGTAATAATATTATAATCTGTATCGTTTGTTTTTAATTTTTTTTGTTTTTCGTTTCCGGCGCGATGACGCACGTCCGCGGTCTGTTGACTTGGATATAATTATATTTTTCGACTTGCGCCTCCGGCGCGATATTAGTCCGTACGGTTTTACTCCGGAATCGCACGTACATTGCGCATAATGAGTGATACGAGTGTATAATACCGACACGCAAAATATTACAGCTATGTCAAATATAAATCATTCTCGCGATAATTTATGCGCGCGATAAAAAAAGTTAAAAAAAAAAAAACAAACAATAAAACCGAAAAAATAATAATAATAACGATAATCGTTTTGAACCGAACCGCGCGAGTCTACAACACGAATAATTGTTGATAATGTTATAATTTATAACTATATTACACGCGATTTTCGGTGAAAATTTTTTTTTTTTTTTTTATTCGTCTGCAGGCACAAAAGACGATAGGTAGGCAGGAAAAACAAAACAAAAAAAAAAAAAAAAAAACAAACACCATAAAATGTTTCGTTTTCACGTAAACGATAATTTTCACCGCGGGTACCGCAACCGGCAAATATCGTTTTGCTCTTCGCCCGTGCGGACGTCCGTCGTGCGACACGCCGGTTTTGTGCAGAAATCGCGTTATCATTTCGTTATGCTATTCTTATCGTAATTGTCTCGCGTTCGCCGCGGTGTCCAGCGGCTCTAGGTTCGTTTATTTTTTTTCTTCTTTCGCAAAGCCGTTTCGATGAAATAGAAAAGGCGGTGGCGTTCCAAAGTAGGTTTTATTCCCGGCAACCGTCCCATCACTAAAACGGACGGGCGGACGGATGACCCGTACGCGAAAAATGTTAATTAGGCAGTTAATGTCGAATTATCTTGTTCGCAGATCGTGTTGGTTTTGTGTGTTATATCATTTATATATACCGACACGCGCGATAGCATAGCCTATAGCACGTACCTAGTCGATTTAGCTAAATATGATTTTAGCTGTAAACATATTTTTTTTTTTTTTTTTTTTTTTTTATACAGGTCGAGAAAGTTCCTTTTTTAAAAAAGGATCCACGTTCCTGATTTTTAAAATCCCAATAAATTAAATGGAATTGATTTCCTAGTTCCTACTCAAAAATGAAAAATGAAAAAAAAAGTCCATCGTCAATTTACTCCAAAATACACAGACACGCATACAT